CAGCAACCCGGCCCCTGGCTCAAAAAGGTTGCCTACCCCTGCTGCAGTGCAATTCAAATGTAACAACTTAGGCTGCATCTGAGCTGTAGAAATAATGTAGTTTGACACTACTTTAACTCAGTGCCAGTGCCTTCTGGGATTTATAGTTTAGTTACATATTCAGCCTTCTCTGTCAGAGAACTCACAGCTCCCAGAATTGTCTTCTGTTTCTGGTGTCTGAATCTCCATGTAAGTATTCTAGAGGAACTTAATGTTCTACAATCATGGCACAAAATTGATGAAAATTTTGATTTTACATTATGATTACTTTTATCTGCTACTGTATTTGTAAATCCTCCTTATCTTTTCATTATATTCTATTTTGGCTTTAGATTTTTTAAATGTGACTAACAGATTTCTCTCTGTGTGTCAAAGAATCTTGAGAGGAAAAGTATTATGGCTTAGACCATGTTGGGATCCTTTATTTTAAGAAACTTTTCCAGCTTCTTAAAAAAAGAGCTCTTTTCAAAAGCAATTTTAGTTTGATTTGATGGTTTCTCAACCCTTTGCTGCCATAAAAATAACCAGATAATCACAATCCCACAATTATATGTGCCGATGACTATATCAGACACTAACAATAGCTTTATCACAGACGTTAGCAATACAGCCACATCAGTGGCATGACACAGCTCTCTCTGGGACATGGAAAAAACCATGCCAGTGACTTACTTTGACATAATCCTTAATTCCTTAATGAAATGCTAATGGAAAAATCTGAATGAAAATGGGAGTCATTGTCTGACTTCTTAATTGTATGTTCCCTAAAACATACCAGCATGGACCTGCTTTCAAAGTATTCCCAATAAAGTAGGAAAATTGAGGAGCTTCAAAAGCGATGGTTGACTGGTGTAAGGAGATCTTAGTGTAAATGGACAGTGCTTGTTTTGTTGTTAAATGCTATTAAATCAACTTTGACTTATGGTGATCTCATGGGTGAGAGACCGCTAAGTCACCCTGTCATCAACAGCCCTGCTCAGATCATGCAGACTCAGGGCTGTGACTTCCTTGATTGAGTTCTATCCACCTGGAATGCGGCATTCCACTTTTCCTACTCTCTTCTATCTCATCAAGCAATATTGTCTTTACTAGCAAGGCATGTCTTCTCATAATATGGCCAAAGTATGATACTTTCAGTTTAGTCATCTTGGCTTTTAGCCAGAGTTCAGGTTTGATTTACTCTAGGAACTATTTATTCATCATTTTAGCAGTCTGCAGTATCTGTAGAACTCTTCTGAAGCACCTCATCTCAAATGAGTTGATTTTCTTCCTATCAGTGTTCTTTATTGTCTAGCTTTCACAACCGTACATAGAAACTGGAAATACAATGCAATGGACAATCATAACTTTAGCATTCAATACTGTATCTTTACACTTCAGGATCTTATTTAGTTCCTTTACAGCTGCTCTTCCAAGTCCTAGCCTTCTTCTGATTTCTTGACTGCAGTCTCCATTCTGATTGACTAACTGAGCCAGGGTGTGGAAATTTTTTTATCCTAGTTGACAAAAAAGTGAGCTTGCCCACACAGAGCCACCAGAATACAGTGCAGGACAGGACAATTTCTTGTATTGCATATCTCTAGCCTGAGCCCTGCTGATGCCTTTGTTCATAGGCAAGCACCTGTTTCCAGATCTCATTTCCTCTGAAGGGGTTAAGGGCAGCCACAGACACCTGCTCAAAATATTGCAGTATTGACTACCATCAGTCTTATTTTTGTCTTCTCCCACTTCTCCTCCTGCTGTTCAATCATCCCTCCTCTCTGACACCAAAGGGAGGGATATTTTTAGATGTATGTCCCCTTGGTTTCCCCCCCCCACACACCACCTCTTGACCTGGAAGAGCTGGAAATAAGTCCTGACTTCCATAAAGCTGAGAAAGTTGCATCTTCCTTCCTTCCTGTTGCCATGAAAAAGCTGTGCATTGACTTAACTGGAGAATAATTTTATGCAGCACTTGGGCTTTTGATCTTGGCTTATAAATAGAGGAAACTTCTTCCTTCTACTACCGCCTTCTTTGGATTGATGTGGATGTTTCCCACAGCTTGGGAATCTCTCTGACAGATGTCCTATTACACTGAGATGTTTAGGATACCTTACAAGGTTGTTTTTTTTTGGGGGGGGGTTGGAATAAAAAATGACTTACCAACCATTAAGAAGAATGAGTTAGCCAATGAAGCCAGGCAGCAGATTTGTATTCCCATGAAAGAATGTGTTAGTGGTTTCATTAGTTGCCTCAACATGTTGCTACAACTTAATAATTTAGGCCAGAATTCACTTGGGGACATAATATCTTCATAAGTGGACTTGTATCTGCACTAAATAGAACTGAACAATGTCTGTATTTACCAAGGGGCAAATCATGATGTTACTATGTAGGTGACACTGAATATTGGGACCCATGGACAACAGTAGCAATGCACAGCTGGACCCAATGCACAGTGGAACACTCTTGCTTGTCCTTGATACAAATCTTTGCAAACTACTAGGAGGTGCCTTAGTGCTGCTCTGCATAGCTATGAATGTGTAAAGTTATGCAATATTGATCATGATATAGAATTATGGCTGATTTAATTTGTTATTATTGTGCTTTTACTGCCAAGCATAGGAAGAAATGCTGGTGACATTTTCTCTCCCACGTGCCAAAAAGAATGACTAGCTTTGGATACTATATACTTTGACTTGGGTGAATAGGGGCTGTCATTAGCTGCTCCATCCCAGGCAGCAAATATCACAGGCTGGTCCTGGATTTCTGTGCAATGAAAAGTCACCAGAACTGTTGCTTCATGCTACTTGATACTAGTTGCAAATGAGAGAGATTAAGATGTTTGCTCCTTCATGATCATTTTCACCAGTGTTTTCCATCCTGGCCCATAATAGTCTATCTTTTTCCAAGCCACAGTAAATGGCACTCTGCTCTTCCAGTCAGCCTGAACAGAAAGTGCACATTTCCATTAATCTGGTAAACTGCAGCTATTAAAACATTGGAACTGTGGCTACTGGAGATGAAACAAAATATCTCCCCTGCTGTGCTAGAAATCCAACAGCCCTCCAGCCTTTGGCTTTATTTAACACATTTATAAACCAATTAACATCCCGAAATACCAAAGCAGAGTACAAAATTAAAAGAATACACAAGTGACAACATAATGTCCTGTGAAAGTTGTGTGACTAAAGTTGTGTGAAGGACCCCATGCCATGGGTCTTACTGGGCCATTTTTGGATCTTCTGGACCCAGCAGTGACCAAAAATGACAATTTGGCCATCTGGAAGTCACTTCTGCTCACATTTGTTATT